CACCCCACATCACTGTCCCTGAGCCTCCTCTTTCCAGTGTCTGTCCTCTGTCTGCCACATCACCCAGCTGTGAACAACACAACACTCACATTGCCCATCTCTCACTCTTCCTTGACGAAAACATATATTTTTTAAAGACCAGGAAAAAGAATTGAGTAAAGTTATTACAGAATTCTCTTCTCTAATCATGCCTTCACCACCCCACATCACTGTCCCTGAGCCTCCTCTTTCCAGTGTCTGTCCTCTGTCTGCCACATCACCCAGCTGTGAACAACACAACACTCACATTGCCCATCTCTCACTCTTCCTTGAAGAAAACATATATTTTTTAAAGACCAGGAAAAAGAATTGAGGAAAGTTATTACAGAATGATAAGAGAGTTCATCAGAGGAGATAATAACTATAAACACACACCCAGTATTGAATCATCTAATGTAAAAACAAATGTCAGTATACTTAAAGGGAGAGGTAGACGTCAGTACAGTAATAGAAGACTTTAACAGCCCACCTTTAGCCATGGACAGATCATCTCTACAGACAGTAACAAAGAAAGAGGCAAGTTAAGTTGTCCTTTCAGCCCATGGGCCTAACTAACATCTACAGCACGTTGCACACTCAGGAGCTACAGAGCACACAGGACAGGCTTCCCCAGGAGGATGAGATGCGAAGCCACAGGACGTCTCAGCAGGTGTTTAAAAATTAAAATCCTATCTACCGTCTCTTCTGAGTACAATGCAATTAAACGAGAAATTAATAAGAAAAACTTGGGAAGGTACACAAGAGCCCGGAAACTCAGTGACCTACTCCCGAACAACCAACAAACCAGGAAAGACACTGAGGGGGGAGTTTTCTCATTTAAACAGATAATGGAAACGTAACACACCCAAACCCACGGGACACAGTGAAAGCATACTGAGGCTAGTTTATAACGGGTCCCCCAGAACAGCAGGGGAAATCCCACGTAGCACGTTATTACCCTCAAGGGATTAGGAAGAAGCTCTAATGCCTGAACCCAGCTGTGAGTCTGGCCATCGACAAGCCTCCTGCTCAGAGGAATGGTTTCAGTCCATGGTCACTCTGTCCTGATGCCTTCGGGCCTGTGGGTGAGACAGCACCACACAGTAGCAGAGTGCGGGGCAAGGAGGCTGCTCCTCTCGTAGCATCCAGAATGGAATTAGGAGGGACCAGAGTCCTAATATCCCCTCCAAGCACACCCCATGATAACCTGACTTCCTTTCACTAAGTCCCACCTCTTAAAGGTTCCTCTGCCTCTCAGTAGCACCACGAGCTGTGGGGGGGGGAGTCTTGAGCACATACTAAAGTGCACCAGGCCAGAGCTACTGTCATTTCTCACCTGGGTAGGGCTGGAGAGTACTGTGTTCTGCTCTCAGAGTAAAAGCCAGGGTCCCTTCTGTGACATCCAAGGCCTCACGCAGCCCAGCCACGTCTGCTCCTCTCACCATGACATCTTACCCCCACCACCACCCCTCTGGAAACCCTTGTCCTGACTCTGCCCCTCTGGCAGCTGCATGGTTCACCCCCTCACCCCCAGAAGTCTTTGCTAAATGGTACATGTCCACACTGCTCCACATAAAACCTTCCTAAAATGCTGTTTTAAAGCTCGTGGTGCTCAGAGTGCTGCTTGAACTGCCTTGCTTTCCTGGGCTACTACTCACTTTTTGCCACTATGTACAATTTATCTTATTTGTTTTGTTTCTTTAACTTTTTGAGACAGGGTCTCCCTGTAGCCCCAGTTGGCCTGGAAATCACTAGATCAGGCTGGCCTCATAGAGTTCTGCCTGCCTCTCCCTCCCAGAATGTTGGGGTTACAGGTGTGTAGTACCATACCCAGCAATTTGTTTTTTAAAGTATTTTTTGTGGCACTTCATCTTTATCCCTTTGGTTCATCAAAAATACCTACCCCAAGGGATTTGGGAAGGCAGAATAAAGAAATGAAAAGATGTATAACCTCCCCTTAGCAATCACAGAAAGCAAAGTGAGACCAAAGTCAGAGTCCACTTGGTGATCAGAAACTTAGCTAACAGGTGTCTGTGACACCACGTGCTGACGGGGGTAAAAGTACAGAAACTCCTGCTGCTGACACAAAGGCAACCGGTGGTTTTGAACAGGGATTTTCAAAAGACTGTAGAATCCAGTACTGGCACGTTGGGTCAGCAGTTAAGAGCACTGGCTGCCCTTGCAGAGGACCTGGCTTTAGTTCCCAGCATCCACACGGAGGCTAACAACCATACATAACACCAGTTCCAGGGGATCCGACGCCCTCTTCTGACCTACAGGCAGTGTGTGCACACGGTGCTCTTGCAGACATGCAGACACAACACTCATACACATAAAATAATAAATATTTTTAAAGACTATATAGGATACATACATATTGTTATTGTCTTAAAGAAAATGTATACCCTTGCACAAATAGACTATCTACGTTTGGGGAAGGGACAGGGATTAGAAAAAGCACACGAAACATAGCAACATTGTCAGTGGTTGAACATTTTGCCTTGTGCAGGATTTGGGGCACTCATTTTATCTTCCTTTGTTTTCTTTAGGGAAAGTGTTTTGCTACAGTATAGCCCAGGCTGACCTCAAACTTAGTCTTCTGCTCAGGCTCCCAGGCGCTGGGATTACAAGGAATTCATTTTATCTTTATTCTTTATAACTATTATGCATGTGATAAAATATCTCCACATGCATCAGTGACGCAGTGAGGCGAGCACAGGCACTGGTCATTACTTATTGTTGCGCTGAGACTGGCCGAATAGAGAATGTCTATTCTATGCAGACGCACTGTGGTCACAACAAGCCCTCACAGACTAAGGAACTCCATCCTCCTCTGCTCCTTAAGCTGACGTTCTCTTTCTCTTCACAGCACATCATCTACTCTGTGAAATTCTTCATTTCCTATGCAATTCCAGATGTATCGAAAATCACGAAAAGTAAGATCAAGAGAGAGAAATACCTGACACAAAAACTGCTTCACGAGAGCCACCTCAAAGACCTGACAACACACATGGGGCTCATAGCCGAGAGAGTGGGAGGCGTGGTGGATGAGACTGTGCGACCAAAATTAGAATAGGAGCTTTCTGTCCCAAGAAACACTGCAAAGAATGTAGCTCTGTCAAAATGTATTATGAATCACTAAAGAGAATGTTGAAGTTCAATCACTTAAGCTAATAGGAGTCTTAACTATTGCCATTTACATGGATATTATTTTTCAGTTTCAGCTTGTGGTGCAGGAGCTGGAAAATGTAAAACTTTGATCAAGGGGGACATAAAACTAACTACCTGGAAACCCTCAATATGTTCCCTTTTTGATATATTAGAATTTTAGTCAACACAGAAGAAGCCATTCTGTGTGCTTGAAAACCACCTCTTCTCGAGCAGACCGGCTTCTTCTGGTAACTGGCTTTCTTGTCCCCAAACACCACTCTCCCTTCCTGTGACTTTACTGTCCATTCTGCACTTTGCCAAATCTGCCCCAGACCTGTTTTGTCCTGACAGTATCATCACTGAAGACCAGGCCTGCCTCTGCCTTAATCACTTTTGAGTTAGAAAATGCCAGCTCGGAACTGGGTTTACATGCTGTCTTAGGTGGAGGGTAGACTCAGGAACTCTCAGTATTTCTGTTTATTACCACATCACTGAGAAAGGAGACCTCTTTCAGTAAGAAGAAACAATGTCCATCTTCATTTCCGCCAGCCTTTCCATCTCAAAGAAATACTCATCTTGGTCTGGCATGAAGATAGAGGTTTTGGAGCCTTCCTTTGTTACTCCACAGTGACACCCGCCTTCAAGCAGCACACCCACAATGCTCTGGTTCTAATCATTGTTGACTGCTTTTCAGATATTAAGGAAGTAAGATGGAAAAGTAGGAAAAGTTACAGATCCAAATAATCATAACTCCTATTGATCTGGACAGTTAATTTACCTCTTCTTGGAATGTATAGTTTCTTGAGAAAATCATAAGTGATGATGTTGCTATCAGCATAATAGCCTAGAAAAGGTAAGCCTGTGGACTTCACACAAACTGACTTACCGATACAGGAGGAGCGTCACTACCAATCACCAAGCGCCTTCTATGTGACTCACTGCGGAGCCTGTGACCTGATGACGCTGGGCGTGATCAGAGCAACATGAACCACCATCCTGAGGTCCTTGTGTGGTGGGCGTCTTTCACAGAAATCCTGCATGACTTTGTTTCTGCTTGCCAGAGTGACCAGTGTCCCAAAGCCACAACCACAGTGACTGGCTTCTTGGCCCCTTCCGTTCACGTTCTGCAGCTGCTAACCCGTTTGTAATTGTGGCTTCATTGAGACAAGAGTCCACCTGGATTGTTGCCTATCCAGAAAGAGACCCTGGGTTTGACCAGAGGTCCCAGGCTGCTGTCTGGCAATCAGGCATTTAAAGGGAGGGATGGTGTGTCTGGAGGTGCCGGAATGCTGAGCTCCAACCCACTGTGTGCCTCGTCCTTGGTTCGGCTTACCTGAGTTAGCTGGACCTGTTAGCACCCAGTTCTCTAGTAGGTCAGCTGGCAACCAGTTAGTGCTGGGTAAAGGGCATCAAACCGTGCAGCATGCTGGGGTACTGTGAAATGTTTTGGTGCCAAGGAGCCAAACATTGGCTCAGGGAACCCCAGCAGCCAGGAGAGAACCATTTCAGAAACCCCTTCTGAAGGCTTGCTGCCCCAGAGCCCCTGAACTCCAGATCACAGTTTTAAATGACTGCCAGGAATGGTTTGCTTTTTTTTTTATTAAGTGTATCAATGTGATTCATCAAAGCAGTGTTTGGGGCTTTTGAGTTGCCCCAGTTGGGTCAGTGGACCGTCCTCGCTTTCTTGTTCAGATTGAAGTCAGAGAGCACAGAACCCATCACTTACGGTCCCAGTGTGATACACAGACATGACTACCTTTCCCTGAGGACAGAGGTTGTCACTCTTCACAGCCTAGACCAGGTGCCGCTCCCTGTTCCCACCCAGGCTGTTCCTGGAGGTGCACCTTAACCTCCCCTCGTACCTCCTCTCCAAAACGTGTTATTATTGCTTAGCAGTTGAGCAGTACTTGCTGTTTACGTCATAGAAAAGTAAATGTCCTTAGCTTATCTCTTTACCTCCTTCTTTATATTATACAAAGGAATTTCTAAAGAAAAGTGAACTTATTCATCTACACCCCCAGCCAAGAACCCTCTTCAGAGTTTGAAAAATGCTGCTGTGGACAGAAGGGGGGAAGAAACCCTCCATTTCTAAAGGCTGCGAGCGTGGTGCCTGACACCACAGGATGCTAAAAGGCTGTCGTGGTGAGCTGTGGCCCCCACGACATCATCCTTCCTATGAGTCCTGGGCCAAATCGGTGACGGAGAGGAACAGTGCACCTGCAGTGAGACCTCCCCCGTCCCTGAGGGACCCAAGGCACGACAGCGGCCTGTGAGGGAAGGCTCCGGCCCTCCACCTGTCCAGTGTTAACCACTAGAGAAGTTGTATCCTTTTGTAATGCCTTTGAGTTCTAATGGATTCAAACAGTAAGACCAAATACTCAGGGGTTTTTCTTTAAACATCCCTCAAATATTTTAGCTATTTCATTAGAAATGGAAAGCCATAATCTGTTAAAACTAAATAAGGCCGTTTGGTAACATTTGTGAAGTTCCCCTTTATGGTCTTGAGTTTCATAGGACAGTAACTCACAATGGGGCGGAGTGTGACGTGTTGGTGGAACATTTCTTGTGCTGTTTCTTATGTTCCTATTATGTTTGAAAAGTGAAAACGTATGAGCAGCTTAGCTAAGGTGAAATGTATGATGCTTTTCGTACACTGTGGCGTCAGATGTAAAGTTTGTCATTAGTGTTTGTTAATTTCTATGCATTTTAATATTTTATAATTATGAGCATTTTAATAAATTCATTTTTACAAACTATAACTAGGTTTAATAACTGTCTCAAAGTTTTTAAGAAAAAACATTTTCTCATATTTCAGTCACTGGTTATGTATCACTTAAATATCTAAAATCGTTTTTTTCTCACAACCTGTGGTTGCATGGACTTCCTTTAGAATATTAGGAATGGCGGGCGTGGTGGTGCATGCCTTTAATCACAGCACTCAGCACTCAGAGGCAAAGGCACACGAATCTCTGAATTCAAGGCCTAGTCTACATAGTTGAGTTCCAGGCCAGCTGGGGCTACAGGGAGATGAGAGAGAGAGAGAGAGAGATTAGGAATGGGGTTTCAGCCAGCTACATTCGGATGTTGGAACTGAGCCTGGAAGCCCAGGGAGAGCTGAAGAACAGCTCACCTGCTCACCAGGCCAGGTGCCCTAGAATGGCCACTGGTGGAAAGCTAGGGGCTCTTTCCTCCAGTTACATGAAGAATGTCTAACCAGGCTTGCAGGGGACAGTGTTACCTAGAGAAAGCAAGTCCGTCAAAGTATTAGAAAGACAGTCAACAGACCCACAGCAAGCCTGGGTGTAGAAAAGGGAAATTATAATGAACATAAGGATAATAATCTTATTCTAAAAGTCAATCTTTTTATAAACCTCAAAAGCAAATGATCCAAATTTTCAGTCATTCCATCCTTTCATTTTCTTGATCAGTTTAAACCTCAATATACTTAAGATACTTGAGTGAAATCTATTCATAAGTGTGAAACAGGAAGTACCATCTGATCACTAGATGATACTCTCACAACAAACCTCCTGCCTCATCTTCCCAAATTCTGGGATTACGGGTGAAGTGCCTCACTTGGCTCTAAATGACACCATCAGGACCAGTACTGATAAAGATCTTCCTCCATTAAGTATTATACACACAGCAAAGGGGCAGTTAAAAGTTTGCTCCTGGAACAAAGCACCCCCATCAGTGACTGATCATCTGATGATCACCAGGCCTTCTGCTGTTCTTATACATTATTTCAATGCCATAGGATTTTAGTTTTAAAGTAGCTTTCTCCAAAAGGTGGAAGGTATATGATTATAAAGGAAGTATATTGTTAAAACTCCAGGCTGTATACCAAAGCCCCAGAGGTGCCAGGGATTGTGGTTAGGAGCTGTCAAAGAAGAGATGTACGTGCAAAAAAAGACTGCAGAGACGTGCCTTGAATTTTTAAAGGAAAAGAATCATTGTATTAAAGTTAGAGCTGGAAGAGATAGTTTTAAGCTTTTAACCAACCCAGTCTTATCTAGAAATCTGGCACAATTTCCAACCTTTTAGAGACTTCTGGGTGTTTGGTTCTACTTGAAAATTTCATGGAATGTGTTAGAATAGTGACAGTAGCAGCCCTCTGTTTAACAAAACATGTTAACATGTCTTAAGAGGACAAGAGACCTAATAGATGTTCCCGCACTCCCTTCACAGAACCAAAGTGATGGTGTATAGATGCACACGGACTGGGGGGAACACTGGACATGAGCAGGCAACTGGAACCTTCCAAGGCTGAGAGACCCAGAGCATGGTATCACCCTGACTCCAAAGCCAGGGACAGGGAGCCTTTATCCCCACAGGGGTCCTGGTGAGGCTTACAGAGAGCTACCAAAATGAATGCTGCAAGTTCTGGTGTTGGGGGTTTCACAGTCCTCATAGGCTTGTGGCCCATATAGGAAGAAACCTGTAGTCTGCCCAGGACCCTTGCTCCAGAAAGGATCGCCCATCATCTCCTACTTAGGTCCCATTTTGAGAAAAGATCTATTTGTGAATTTGGGCTGTTGTAGAGTCAGAACCCCGAACTAATCCCATCTCAGACCCTACAGGCATCCCTCTGCACTGCCTTGAGCCCAGCTTGACCCATCAACGCTAACCCAAGCCTTCAGGCTGCCTGGCACTGTAGAAAAATGGGTGTTGTGACACAGAGGGGTACCAAGGGCTTCACACTTGAAAATCAAATCCAGGAGTATGCCCTCAGCACCAGCCGTGTGTGGCCTCCTACCGGTGTTAGGTCTGAAATTGGGCACCTACATGGTTCCCATGCCCCTCCCCCAACCATGCTCAGGTGTTCCAGAGAAGGTGCGCAAAAGCACTGCAATCCCATGCCCCGCCTGTCCATCTTCTGCCGTCATGCACTGCTGTCAGGACTGAAGAAAGCACCCCAGAAGAGGGTACTGTGACTCCTGCCACTTACCCTCCCCATTGGGGATCCAGATCTTTACCACTACTGGGGCCACTAGTGGCAGAGCTAGGATGAACAATGTCCAAGGAAACCCAGTGATGGTGTTGTGCTCAAACTCACGATCACTGTCAGAGAAGCGCAGAAGAATACGCCATGGTATTCGACTAGAACTGAAGCCAAATTATGTAACAAACTGACACCCCAAGACATACCTTCGGGAGAAATCTGCTTATTAACAATCTCAGGATCCTGCTTTGAAACACCCCTTCCTTGGAGAGCCATAAGACTCCCGATTCTGCCAGGTGGGACTAACTCTTCTTCAGAGCCCCCAACCATGCTGTTGTCTGTCCACGGTGTTAATAACCTTTCTAATAAAACTTCCTCCCCCCCCTTAAAAAATTAAATTTTCAAAAGAACTAAGCTATCGAAATAACCCATTCAGACAAAGGAAAGGAGAGGGGAAGGGACAGAGAGAGGGAGAAGGAGAGGGAGAGCAGGAGTGGAGGGGGAGTTGGGGATGGAGAGGGAGAGAATTCAAGACCTTTGAGAACAAACGCAAATTTTGAGACTATCTGAAGGCATGGAGAAAAAAGCTCAGAGCATAGAAGATCTGTTCAGTGAAAGACAGGAACGTCCGTGCACAAGGACTCTCATGTGACCTCAAATGGTGTCCTAGTTAGCTTGTTGTTACTGTGATAAAAACTGACCAAAGCCAACTTGGGGAAGAAAGGGCTTATTCTATCCTACATCTCCCAGGTCACAGTTCATCACTGGGGGCAGTCAGGGCAGGACTCTGGAGGCAGGAACAGAAGCACAAACCATAGAGGAATGCTGCTTACTGGCTTGCTCCCCTGGTCGGTGCTCAGCCTGCTTTTTTATACAATACAGAACAACCTGCCCAGGGGTGGCACCACCCACAGTTCACTGGGCTCTCCCCCATCACTCAACAATCAAGAAAATGCCTCACAGACATGGGCACAGGCCAGTCCAATGAAGGAAATTCCTCGATTGAGGCTCCCTCTACCCAGGTGAAGCTATGCAATGCAAATAGACATTACCAATGATAGTCTTCACCTGCACAAGGCAAATACAGTCAGATGGCTGAGAGGTGCCCAGTACTCACCTGTTCCTCCACAAAGACAAACCAAAGAAACAGGTGTATTAGTGCATATTGGGGGAAGTGGCCAAGAGAACCACTGGGATTGAACAGTAAAGCTCTGAACCCACAGACCAGGGGCAGCAGCGGAGCAGGGAAACAAAATACCCCCTTCACCTAGCAGCAAGTCCGTAATTAGGGAAAGGCGGTCTCCTCTGTGCAGGAGTAAAGGTGAATGAGTCTCAGAAGACTATCAGCTCAGATCCTAATGAGCTTAGTGAGGTAGTTGTGCAGCCCTTGTGGGACTGTACCTAGACAAGAAACCTGCAATCTGCACAGGAGTCTCATTTGCAGGAGTCACCTCATCTCCCCACAAACCCCAGGGCTCTGGAGCCTAGAGCTATCTTGAAAGGGGACAGATATCCCAAATTGGCCAGTTTTAGGAGTCAAAACAATCCCTGTACATCCTCATCTCTGGGACTCCACAGATATTCCACCACACTGGCTCAGCTGAGAGCTGTCTCATGAGCCAGACTTGTCTTGATGGCATCACAAACCCGCTGTCATGGTGTGACTATCACATATCCCCCAACTCTCATGTATTGAATGCTTGGTCAGCAAATGTGTTGCTATATGAGAAAGTTGTAGCAAATTTAGGAGGTAGAGTACAGGTGGAAGAGGCAGGTTACCACGGGCAGCCCCTTGAAGGTGAAACCTGGCCCCCAGTCCCCACCTCACCCTTGGCTTCATCTCTGCCCTGAGGTAAACAGCCTTATTCACCACATGTTCCTGCCACCATGGTGTTCTGTCTCAACACAGGCCCAGAAACACAAGTCTAATGCCCGTGTACCGAGCCCTCTGAAACTGTATAAGACCCGAAATAAATAAGTCCTACCTTGTAAGTGTCAGGGATTCTGTTAGTCACGAGAAGGCTAACACACCCACTGAGTGCGACATCGTGGGGAATGGGTATTGTAACACAAAAAGGAGCCACAAGTGCCACCAATAAGAACTGGGGAACCAGGAGCCTGCTGAGACCAGTGTGCAAGTGGTCACGTGGTTTCGTTTAGGTGCCACTCCTCTCCCAGCCTGCCACTAAGAAGGCAAAGTAAGATCTCTGAGTTCCGCTACAGCCAAGGGCCTGCTGTATCCCCACTCCCAAGGCACAGAGCCTAACAAGGTCCAGGGAGAAACTGATGCAATTCTCATTCCATTTTTTGTCTCCTGTGAGCACCTCACCTGAGAGGAATTGCGCCTGGCTACTGCTGTGGTTCACTCCTGCTCCATCCCTGGTAGGCATTACAACTGAAAATGTCAGACCTGGTCCATCGCCCCACCCACAGGCGTGCATAGCTGGCAGAGGGGGTTGAGGCCTGCTTTTGAGTGTATATGCCCACCGCAGCAACAGAGAATGCAATTTGCCCTCCACCTGCACTCACACATCACCTACCTTGGTCACTAGCACCTTACCTGGTCTTCAGTGCTGATGGCACTGGGCGTGAGCATCACACAGCAGGTATTATAGTTCCCGTCACTGCTTCTTCCCATTATCGGTATCACAGGACAAGGGCTTTAGTTTCTTAAAACTATTAGGCCCACAATACAAAGGATTCACTCAACTAACATTGCTTGAGGAAGCTGTATTATCTAATACAGACTCCAGACAGAGAAACCATGAGAGTGCTGCACACTGCCTCCCAAACAACTTCTACCAAAGATAGAGTATC